TGTTCAATAACTCTCGGCATGGTGAGCGAGATGAGGGGACGAAGGGTATTATCCAATATCGCTGGATAGAGGAGGGTGGGTTCAGTGTACAATTTTGCAAGCGTTATTTTCTCCTCGTTGGTGTGATTAGAAGAGGCGAGGAGTGTGAAATGCGTAAGTGGTGACGGGGATGGACGCGGGTGAATGATTTGGAGAGTTCTGAGAGTATCCAGTGGTGATAGTATAATTCCCGTGATAACGTGCGCAGCCAGAGGAAGTAGAAGAGGAGGGAAATGTCGTGACTGAGAGGAAGGAAAGATTGGTCGTAAAAACGCTGATACCGAAGGTTGTATTGTGGATGTCAGGAGAGTTAACGTGACTGACGTCAACAGACCTGGTAACGTCTGTCAGGCAATGGATATAAGAAATAAACATCAAGACATACCCTTCCATAAGCTAATCCACCCTTCGGTTCTCCATCGTCCAACGCGTTTCATCATCCCCCAAACACCATCGGCTGGTCCGTATGGTATTACCAGAGGATAGCTGTGCATCTTTCCGGTTGGATTCGACATCTTTTTGTTCATATAATTAGCATGTATTCATTCGCAAAAACTCTACAACTACCTTGCGAGTGGGTAGCGGCCTTGCACGTGCTTGACGGTGCCTTGTGGGCGAAGTTGGATCGTGAAAGTATGAGTCGTCTGTTGAAGATTCGCTCTGTTAAGTACATTGGAAACATATTGTTAGCCATTGATATCTAAACGAGTGTGCTACACACCAATTCATCGTTATCTTCCTCTTCCTCCTCTAATTCTAGCTCGAGTTCCAATTCCAGGTCGGAAGCCTCGAGATGTTTTGGGACCCATTGGACTTGCAATAACACTTTTCCCACTTCCCACGGCATGGCGATAGCTGTAGTCGTATATTGTAAAAAAGCCGAGGCAAGCAAGGCCTTTAGTGCTATTTTGGGCCCCGTCGAGGAATAACCATATCCATTCACGTATGCATTGCTATCATAAGGATACGATCCGGATGCAAATGAACTCCCAGCAAAAGACGACGGTGAAGGCGTGTTCGTGTTTGGTTGAGCTGAACCTGAAAAGCTCATTCCCGAGGTCCCATTGCTACCGGCTGGATTACCCCATTTGAGGACTTTTACAGTCGTCAAGTCGCTGCTGCCGTTCATGGCACCCGAGAGGGGTGAAGTCGGTTTAGTAAAGGACGTAGATGATGACGAGCCGGCCGCTGGGGAATCTGCTGAACCTCCAAAACTCCAAGCTGAAGATTGTGTCGCGTATGTATCTCTTAACGAAGCTGGTTTTGGGTCTGAGGACATGGTTCTGCCACTAGTGTCGGACGAGGCAGAAGCCAAGTTTGCCGTTCATGGCATCACCGTTGTAGTTGATTACAAATCAAAGGAATTAATATTTATAATATTTATAATTGTTCAAGCATATTTTAAGTTATTTCCAAGGCAATCCGCCGTGACGCTGCGTAAGCCGACAGACGGATTCAAAACTTGTCTTACTACTTATCGGTGAGAGGGTCCTCCAGCAGTAGCATTGCCTTGTACACGTCAGTGATGGGACCTCCATATTTCCATTTACAGAGTACCAATTACTGCGGAATTTGTCGTTTGATTCAACGAGAGAAAGGGCCAAGAACCGGCGCTTTGGGATTTACCGCCAGCCCACCGCATTAAGAATGTAACAAACTTTGGGGTTATTTCTGGTCCTCCTACAGTACTATAACCAGCGTTTTCATTCTCTTCCCGAGCTTGCCGCTGACCCCGCTAGGCGCTTTAATTGGAGAGGGGTGCTTTGCGCTGGATGTCCTCGTCAGAATCGACTCGTTCTCCAATACGATTGGTCACAAATGGACATAACACTCTGCGGGTTAATGTAGCTTATTTTGCGACCCTGTATTGGTCTGGGCACGTGTAGGAGGACTGGGCGCTCAATTCTGTGTCGAAGGGAAGCGTTGTGCAAAGATCCTTGAAACTGGTTCTTAATCAAATCAGACGCTTGCAGGAGGACCTATAATTCCCCTACGCAACTATTCTAGCCGTCGTCTCATTATCCCTCGAACGTAAAGTCCGTCAACTTAGGCCCTTGTTATCGGGGTCCATCCTCCAACCCCCTTTGCTTGTTCTAGGCGGCTGCATTGACGGGAAAACTCGGAATACGTCTGACTTGGAAATCACTGGTTGAACTCTGGAGTGTGGACAGCCCAGCACATGGAACAGACGGCTCCACTGTGTAACAAGTCAACGCCGCTGCTTTCGCAGTAACCGGGGTGCATAACCTCCATGTGCTTTTCGCTCACTTCACTAATCTCCTTACGAACCCGGTACAGTCACTACTGAAGTCCCCGATACATCCTCCGTTGGAAGCATCGCCACAACTGATGCCCGCAAAAGGCCAAGGAAATCAACGCACTACTATTGAGAATTATTTTGACAAGAGTTCTAGTTTAACCCTTCGCGTTTTAATACCTTCTCCGCGGAAGCGGTGATAACAACTACAACTATGACAAATAACTTCCGCGCAGCACCGGTAAAGAGCCGACCCGATTTACCTCAAAAAAAGACCCCATCTTATTCAGTACACGCCTCCCCTCCTCCCATACAAATCGGAATGCCTGTAGACACCCTCTTAAAGAGGCTCGAGTCCTCCGCTAATCCCAGCATTTCTCCTTTACTCTTCTTTTCAGGTTCTACTATGTATCAACAGGACCAGGGACACGACGGTGACGAAACACACGACACACGTACGTTGCATACCTTTGGCTTCATCACCTTCGGCTCACATTGGACAACAGCTCAGCAGCACGCCTTCTTTAACGACAATCGTTGGTCAAACTCACTCCTTTACTCGGCGCCAAATACTGCTCATGGACACTATACACAAGACGCCGGCTCATACCCCAATACGAGGTCTCACTGCCTACAAGACTTTGTCCCTTCTCAGCAATATACCGACCACGTAATGGAGCCTGTGGGTCATGACGTTTCATATCGCTCAGCAGACTGGGGCCATTCTCCCCCAGCTTTCAATCCAGGTTTTCCCTACCTCCCACAAGACCCTCCATCCTCCGCGTTTCACGATCCGAACTGCCTCACTCCTTTCCCGTCCGCCAATTTTGATGCGAGATACCCTCCTCCTGTGCCTACTTTCACGGGCACCCCACCGTATCCACTAGCCGATGTTCTAGTCCCTGTTTATTCAGATCACCCCACACGCCGTACGTCCCACCCCGGTAGTCACCCTGGTCCGGATACTAGTCAGCAGCTAGTGGATCCTTATGGGGCTCGTCAGCAGTACACGCGTTCGGAGTTGACTCAGCAGATCTCTATTGCAGACTCTGAGATGTCATTCGAAGATGTGACTCACGAATCTCCCCCACGAGCACTGGGTGATGATTTTATCCATGAATCCTTTCCTGAGCCGACACCGGAACACGGACGCTTACGCAGCGCGTTGGCGCAAGTGATGACCGCACCATGGAGACGCAGGCATACCATGGAACCAGACGAGGACCTTCTTCTCCAGTTTACTTATTTTGACAAAAAACGCGGGAGATGGAATTGCAGCTTTACCAAGGATGGGACCTCTTGTCGCTGTTCGACCCGTAAAAAGGATCACGCCAAAGGACACATCCGCTGGCATATCGACCATAGACCGTATTTCTGTAAATCTCCCTGGTGAGTTCTCTCACAACCGTCTGAATTCGGGGCTAACGATCTACCAGCCCTACCGGAGACCCTTACTGTAACAAGCAGTATACCGCCATGGAGTCTCTTAAAAAACATCAGAACGGAAAGGCAAAATGCTCTATCTGGTACGTGGTGCCCTATTTATTTGATCTTTGGCACCTTAGTAACCCGTTCTCCCCAGCGGAGCTACCATGCTCAAAGGCAACCTACAACGCCATCGTACTTCGTCATGCAAAGCGCCTTCTTTGTAACAATATAGAGTATATTCGTTCCTATTTCTCGCGTCTATTTCCAAGTGCTATTTATTGCTTATTCTTTCGTTACAAGTCTCGTTCATTTTGTTACATATGTATGGACTCGTTAGATGGACTATATGTGTTCCCGGTGGGACTAGCTGGAATGGCCCATGTAAACCCGTCGTTGACAATAAAGACCTATATTTCGGCATGAAATTGGACGTAATCGGTGTAAGACAAGATGTGCTTCACCCCACAATTAGGAGCATTGTATCGAGAGATTTTTCAGATAGAGCCAAGCAACCTAACAATCGATAACGCATGGTTATGACATAGGTAAAACCTATTAGAATATGCATGTATTCTGTATGTGACCGGGTTTGGTAGGGGTGAATTGGCTAGAATAGGTATTTAGGCGCTGCGTTGAGACCTTAGGTTCCATTTGGGTGGAGCAAAGCAATTTAGTTAGCTCAAATACACCAAAAACTAATGTTATTATATATCGAACTTTGATAAGTTTAATGTGACGACCGGTAAAGCTACAAAGGAAAGGGGCTGGCAGAGGGGGAACGCGAAGAAGGAAGGATAGACGAGAGGAAAAGAGTGGATTATAGTATAATTCAAATCATAAGCAAGTATACGTAGCTGATATTGGCATACGAGTGAGCGCTGAGGCAGAAAGATTCGGGTCGGGTCAGGGGTTCCGAGAATCTAGGGAAAGATGATGATCAGGGAAGTTAAAATGAACTATTTGGGTATCTAAACAGAATATAACGAGGATAATAGGGTGATGGAGTGCATAGGAAGCTTCCTCTCGCGGCTGGGGGTTGGCTGGCTGGCTGGGCCGTCACCGATTGGACAGGAATCCTTAAACATGAGGCCTTGGGGTCTTCTACTGCAATAAAACAATTCTGGGCTTGTGGCGGAGTGGTACCGCGTTGTGAGTGCAAAAAAACTTCGATCGAAGAGGACATCGATGGCCGCTAACGCCTGGCTGGCCGAGCTCTAGGCCTAAATAGCAAAATAAAGACTGACTACTCAGGATATTGTACCTTTGAGCAAAAGTACGAGCCTGCCCGGGGTCGAACCGAGGACCTTTGGTTGCGACTTAATCGAAGACCAACGCGGTAACCACTCCGCCACAAGCCCAGAATTGTTTTATTGCAGTAGAAGACCCCTAGGCCTCATTTTTAAGGATTCCTGTCCAATCGGTGACGGGCCAGCCAGCCAGCCAACCCCCAGCCGCGAGAGGAAGCTTCCTATGCACTCCATCACCCTATTATCCTCGTTATATTCTGTTTAGATACCCAAATAGTTCATTTTAACTTCCCTGATCATCATCTTTCCCTAGATTCTCGGAACCCCTGACCCGACCCGAATCTTTCTGCCTCGGCGCTCACTCGTATGCCAATATCAGCTACGTATACTTGCTTATAATTTGAATTATACTATAATCCACTCTTTTCCTCTCGTCTATCCTTCCTTCTTCGCGTTCCCCCTCTGCCAGCCCCTTTCCTTTGTAGCTTTACCGGTCGTCACACTAAACCTATAAAGTTCCCTGTATATTCATATCTCGGCACATCTTTATCTAAGCTATTATCCAGAGGGGAGTTCTTGAAGTCTCGACGCAACCGCTAGATTCCCCTCCAGCCAGTCTATCCTGCCAAATACGATATTCACCCAAGTCAAACCATAGTTCCTATGCCAGAAATAACCAGTGGTAATTTCTAGGTCCGTCCCCAGAAATCCATTTCTCACAGCATATAAAGAGAGTGCAGTAACAAGCGAATCTTATCTACCATCGCTCGCAAACATGCCACCTCCAAACGACACGCCGGCTTATCATCTCGTTCAGCATCCAAGATCTCTCTTTATTTTTCAACTCGACCCAAAGACACCCATTCCAGCCACTCTCCTCCAGCCAACCGGCGCCGGCACCACAACCGCATCCTTCAAGTCGATCACCTGGACGCACGAAGAAATCTCCGTTGTATGCGAGCATCCTCCACGTCATTTCCCAGAGCTCAACACAGGATCTGAATCGCTTGTCCTGAACAAACCCGAAGACTGGGAATGCGCAGCATTTTCGATTCGTGGCCCCATGGAACTGAGTGCGTAACGAGCGAAATTGCAAACACGTAATACTCGTTGACAAATTAATCCCTGCCGAAACGCGTCGTATGATGCCGCGCGTATTAATGATTTAAATTATTAGCGCTGACTGGAATCTTGTCCGGTCTGATAGCGCCGCTCAAAGAGGCCGGCATCCCCATTTTTACAGTATCCACGTGGTACGTCCAGTCTCAGATCAAAATGTAAACCTCGATCATCAATCGTCTGACACAGAGCGCGGCCACCGATCAAATTGGGTCGTTTGCCATACTAGGAACACCGACTTTTTACTCATCCCCATCGCCCAAAAGGGAAAAACGATCAAAGTGCTCAGGCAAGATGGCTGGACAGTCGAAGATTAGAGCCTGAAAAAAACGGTTTGCATTCTATCTATCTAGGAAGAAGGCTGTATAGAATGAGATTGTGTAGTACAAGTGAGAGAACACACAAACACAGTCCGGAAATCACAACACATACGCAAGCAGTCGGGTTTTGTCGGAAATTGTAGCGAAATAGGGTGGGTGGGAAAATGAGGGAAGTAAGGGGGGATATTTCAGCAATTCAAAGGAACGGGAAAGTGTATAAGGACTACCCTTGTCTTCTAAAGGCAAGGTAGCCAAGGGGAAAAAAACATCAGGCATAGATCCAGTCCTCTCTTGATAAATAATTCGGAAATAGCACTACGGTGATGCGGGTATTCCCCCGCCCACCTCTTTTTTTTAGGGGGTGGATTGGTCGACTTCGAAAACCAGTGAGAAAGTGGGATAGCATACGTGCGGTACACTATCCCAAGGAAATGTCGCCCAAAAGAAACCTTGTCTTGTCGTCTATCGTCGTCGTCGTCATCTTCGTACAGATTCATCCATTCATGAACGCCATTCTAAGGTTTAAGACTCAATGGCTTGCTCAATACGGGTCGATGATGCCCGTACCCATACGCAGATCCGTACCCAGCAGCCGCAGCCTCGAATCCACTGGTTGCGCCATTTCCGCCATGCATAGACATGGACCCGGCAGGTACGCCCAGTCCAGGCGTTGACATTTCCGAGGACGGACTGGCGTCCTTGCTTGGTGCTGGTGACTGATGGAAACACCACTTTTCAACGAGTGCCGCATACGTGCTGTCGGTGGTCGACGCAGTAAACGGATACGAGGAGCCGTTACTCGTCACGCCATTGGCGTTGCCGTTAGGATTGGCCGAGGGTGTCCTGTCCGGAGTAGAAGGGGTGAATGGCGGGCCCAGCGATGTGGGCGTGGGTGTGATGCTAGTGCTCCCGCCAGGTGTCGAGATAAAACTGTTGGCGGGCGAGCGCCTTGGGGTATCCGAGCTGCCATCGCCACCGGGAAGACTCCGGTATATGCCGAGGGTATCACGGTTTGCCGAAGGGGGCGCAGGCGGCAGAGAGATCGGCTGTCCGCCAACGACGGGGCCGAGCATCATGCTGATCGAATTTCGATGGGACGCGCCACCCGCGGGTACGGGCGACGTGGGCGACGCATAATTCGACAACTTTAATGACCCCGAGCTACCGCTCGAGGCAATCGAGGAACCGGATACGCTCCTCTGATGTGCACCCCCTGGAGGAGGGGGTGCCGCAGTCACGTTAATACTGGATGTGGATGGTGCGGAAGGTGCGGATTTGGGAGGAGAAGACGAGGGCGAGAATGGCTTCTTCAGTCGGAGCGGCGGGATTTCGGGGTCGGAGGAAGGGATAGTCATCGTTGAAGGTCGCAGGTCCAGGCCAGGGAACATTCTTTTCGGACCGTCGCCGAATCTCAACGGCGAGGGCGGGGGGCCTTTTGCTGGCTGAGGCGTCGTGGTAGTCGGTGCCTTTCTGAAGATGAGCTTGTAGTTTGCCCCTTTATTGTTGTCCCACCACTCGCCCACGCCTGAAGCGCTAAAGCGTGCGGCGAAAAAGATGGTGCGCTCCGCCAATTTTCTCTCCACGTCTTCGAGACGAACCATGAACGAGAATCGATCCCACGCAACTGGTGGGACTCCTGGTGTCTCGCGCTCCGGCGGAAAAGGCGAAGGGAGCGAGGGAAGCGTGCACACGTGTCGACATACGACCTCACTCGTCGTCTGCCAGTTGTCGAGCGTGAATCTTAGCGCGACAGCCTTTTCAAACGCCACGTTTTTGACAAGGATTGATCCACGGAGGGTAGGAGGTCGTGTGCGAGGAAAGACGAGGGTTTCGACGTGCACGTTTGCAAAGGCGGAATGATCTATGAACGGAACGGGCGTCGATTTTTCCGTATCAATCTCGAGACCAAATTGCTGTTGCTGTTGCGCTTTATCGCTACTGAATTGAAAGTTCTTCGAATTGCCGGCGAGTATGGCGGCATTTGCAGGGGAGTCGTACCCTTCCGTCTCAGTCTCGGTATCGTCTGCGTTACCGCTGACGGCGCGCGGCCTCCCTGTCTTCTCGAACAAGACCACATTCTCAAGATTGTCCTTCTTTTCTGGGAAGTGGACCGTCTTGGGGATTAGAGGGGTAGAGGGCTCGGAGCGTGAGCGCGGGTGCTGTGCGCGCCAATCGGTGATTTGAGGCGACGATATGGACGATTTGAGGGACGGTTTGAGCGTCTTTCCATTTGCGAGAACGATTGGCGTCGAGCCGGATCGCGAAATTGATGAAGCGCGAGAAGTGGAACCCGGTGTGGCGGGAGGGTCCCTATTAGATCGGACGTTAGAATGCTGAGAACAGGGTCGCTGGCCCCGGGTTACTAGACTTACAATGAAGGGAAAGGAAGTGATGATTCGACGGGACCTTCCGACTGCTGAAGATAATTACAGAGGCGTTAGTGATCGTCCCAGTAGGCGTATTAGGGGGGGAATGAACTGTAAACTGGTTCCCCTCGTGGGTCTCGACACGTAGTGACACATGAGTCAAATCCATATGATTCTACTTGGATACAGAGCCCAACGCTATGGTTCGCACTCTGCCATTTTCGTATGGGGCGTGAAAAGGCAGTGAACTGATGAGTGCGTCGAGCGAGATTCCCACGAGACGAGTGGTTCGACGAGCTGAATAAGGATGATAAACACTCACAGATGTAGGAAATGGAACAGCATTGACGGCCGGAGGCGTTGGAGGTGAGGAAACTTGAATCTGGGGTTTCGCCTTGGGAGCTGTCTGCGTCTGGGGAGGATTGTTCTCTTGCTCGTCATCATCGTCCGGAGCTATTTGAAACAATGTACGCTTTTCAAACTGTCGTTGGCGTCGTGGAAGACCGACTAGAGGTGTAAAGGCACCTGGCCCGGTTTCTGTAGAAAATGTCGGTGTCGCTGAGCGTGTGCGACGATGCGAAGGTCGTGAAGATTCGGCATCAAGGTCATCAGGACTCGTTGTCACTGTGGACGACGACGGGGAGAGGTAAGGCATTGAGGAGGGAGAGGTCTAAGAAGTGAAAAACCCGATCGGGGAAATGTGTCTTTGTCAAGAGGCTCCTCTATCTTATTTAGGTCAATGCGCCACAGTAATTAAGTTTAAAAATCTTTGGAAAAAGATGACATGAATAATTTTCAACGTTTCTTCCCTGTCAATCTCTTCGGAAATGCCCGACTGTCCCCTTCCTCCATCAAATGTCCTCCGGTCTCTCCTGTGTCCGATAAGCTCGCAAAGGATTATGTATCTGGATTTTATGACCGCTCTCATCGGCTGTCGCAGTGCCGCCACTCGAGGAGCCCGGCCCAGGTGAGGCCGTGACGCTGTTCACCGACGAGCAAAGTGGTGGAGTAGAACAGCTGCCAACCTCGGATTGATAAGTAGCGCTCATTTTTGGGTTCTTTTGGGTTCCCTTAATTTGTTCCCCACCCCAACGTTTTTTGAATTGGTTGGTTGTTAAAAAAGATATAGGTGTGTGGGGGGGCGGAGATATACGTGTGCGTCTTTGTGTGGCCGCGGGGGCAAAAAAATTTTGTTGTTGTTGGTTAGGGGGGCTTTTTTTTTTTGTTGTTGTTTTTTTTGCCGTTGGTTCCAGTGAGCTGGGCATCACGCAAACTCCCACAAGGACAGCGAACACCGACTCGTGCG